TTTCTCCATCAAAGAGCAGGATGTAAGGAGAAAAGAATGGTTAACTTTTTCTCTAGTTCAATCTATAATATTCTAATAATAAAGGGACCTAGTCAAGTGGCCATAAGCTAGAGTTGAAAAGGACAGGGTCCTACAATTCCCCCAGAAACAATTAAACTGAAAGGCAGAAAGGATACTCAATGTGTATTTTAAAATATGCCGTCCTAAACAGAACATACAAGCCATATATTGGACTCATGGCATTAAACCAAAGCCATGCCTTTTCAACAGATGGTAATTATTATAAATACTACTTGAAGAAGAATTTTCAGTAAATTTCCTGGACTCCAAAACCAAAGCCCTTTCTACTCTACTATGTCACCTCTAACTTGGTATCTGTGCTCATATGAGATGAAATCCTTAAATTAAATTAGACATGACAAATAAAATTGTATGAGAGAAAAGTGTCTATCATAATTTTGTGAATTAAGATAAAAGGAACAGCCAAAAGCACAATATCACCTAAATTATGAAACTTTATTAACTACAAAACACATGGAAATAAGCAAATGCTATCATCAACTCTCTATTCTAACACTGTCGTGGCATCATTAAATTGGCAAACTACATGTGCCAGAATTGGTTAGGATACTGGGGTCGAAGGGAGGAAGTGGGGATTTTGGACTGGCTATGTCCCAGAGAAGGAAGAAAGCCATCAAGGCCAGAGAAAAGGCAGTCAGGAATTAGCAACAGTCCAACCCAGGGAGTTTAAAAGTATACAAAAAAGAATAAGTAAAACAATAACAACATGCACCATCATTTAATCATTACTAAGCCTTGATGATAAAGTTATCCTTCCCAAAGCCACAGAGCTAACTATGGCAGAACTGGTATTCTCAAGCAGTTCTCTATGACAACAAAGCCCGTTTTTAACCCTATGCTGTATCATCCATATGCAAAACAGATCTGGAGAGCCAGAAGAGCAATGCAGAGGCAGACTTGCAAGCGACATTATCCAGAACCACAGTAAACCCAGTGGGGGAAACAGAAAGAACAGCAGAAGCAAGAATGTGCATAGGCAGATGCCCAGAGAAAACGGGGCCGAAGAGATAGGTGCTGCTCAACAGACACCTTCTCCTTCTCATTGCCTGTGTACTGTCTCCATCCTCAAGATCTGAAAGGTTCTGTGGGCAGCTACTGACATAAACAGGTCTTGGCCTATTTACCATTGACATGATTTTAATAAGAATAAAAGCTAAATGATAGTCAATGTAATTATATAGATATTAGATCTAGGTCTCTCTTTTAATATATATATGTATGTACTTTTTTTAATTAAACAGACATTTTAAGAAAATCCACTTAGATGAAATCCTTCAGAATGATTTTGGTGCCACAAAAATATGAGTTATTTTACTAATAGTCACAATAAGCAACTTTTTAGGGAACCAAAACTTCATAGATTAGGTAATATTTTCTCCCATTTCATCTTACACACCTCTTCTGTTATCATGTTCATGATTTACTTTGTCACAAATGACATTGGGAGTTTTCTGCTAAGTTTCCTTAACCATTTTATGAAAACCACGTATTTATTCGTGATCCAAGAATACTAGCAAAATTGTCCTTAACCACAGAAAACAAAGCCATGATACTAAATGGAAAATTTTTCCTTATCATCAAGTGTGTTTGTATTGCTATGTGCATATGACAACATTTTAGACATGAAACAGTATAAGTATTATTTACTGAATTACATAAGAAATTAAAGAATTATTCAATAAAAAAGAACAAGGCTTTGTCAAGAAAGTTGACTCTGAAAGAGTTGGGAATCAGGGAACACAAGGTTCTTTTTGATTCACTGTTCATCTGAAAGGAAAGAAATGATTTCATGAAAATTCGCATTACCTTCCTGGCACACTTCATCCTAGAAAAAGCGGCTCTTCGTTTAAGCAAACTGCATATGATTTATTAACCTGGAGACAGTAATTTGACTGATAACAGGATTCCCCATTAGAGTTCCATAATGAGCATAAAGGAGACACTATCAGGCACTAGAAAAGATGATATTTGGAGCACAGAAGACTTGGTTCCTACAAGTGCCAGCAGCATCCATTGGCCACATATCCATGGATCACGTATCATCAGACATGATATTTAGCTGGTGTGCACTCATATGAATAAAATGGTTAAGTGGAGAATATCTATCCTTCTTGGTAAACAGTTGCTGCCCCAAGGCCCCACAGTGCTCCCTAACCCTGACCACCCCAGGGGTCCTCCAGGATACCCCCCATTGCTCAGGCTACCTCCAAATCCACAAATACAATAGAGACCTCCAGAACCCTTCCTCCAACGCTGTGGCTGGGGCTGTGCTAGCTAACCGGCATCACCTGTGGCAAGCTAGGCATGAATATCATTTCTGGGTGTAATCAAAAACACTCAGCAGTATGACAGAAACTTCCATCTTTCCCTAACATACAGTAACCTGTTGAGCTATTTGACACTGATTTCTTTCTAAAAGTTACTAGTAACCAGAAATAGGTTTCAGCTTCATGCAAAGTGTTTCTTCCTTGTAGCAGTTTTTTCTCAAATTAAACTTCCTAATTCATGTCTTTTTTTATTTTTTATTT